TAGGTTGGAGCTGTTTTCCTGGGACCGTCTGAGGCTGAGGGATGACCTTAAAGAAGTTTATAAAATCATGAGGGGATGAATAGGGTGAATAGTCAAGGTCTTTTCCCCAGGGTGGGGGAGTCAAAACCTAGAGGGCATATGTATAAGGTAAGAGGGGAAAGATGTAAAGGGAATGTAAGGAGTAGGTTTTTCACGTGGAGGATGGTGCATGTATGGGATGAGCTGCCAGAGGAAGTGATGGAGACTCGTGCAATTACAACGATTAAAAGACACTGGATAGGTATATGGAAAGGAAAGGTTTAGAGGAATATGGGCCAAATAAGGAAAATGGGACTAGATTAATTTCAGATATCTGGTCAGCACGGACAAGTTAGACTGAAGGGCGTGTTTCCATGCTGTATATCTGTATGAGTCTATGACTGTCAATTGTTCACTAATACCTGAGGACAAACAGGCTGTTGGCATGAAAACCCATCCATCTCATTGATATTGTGAAGACAGCATCTCGTTTTGTAGGCAAAGTGTTAAGGAACTCTTTCCTCCTCCTCTTCCGGTCCATCTTGCATCTGAAGAAGACAGACCCCTGAAGAAGACTGCCACCTACAAGGACTACTTGACGAATACTACCTTGTGACCCTGAGCACTTACTGATGCACCTATTTCTACAGGCATATAGTTTACACTGTGTTGATCAGTTGTCTGAATCTTTTTGGCCACTGCCCTTGGGACATTTAGTCATGATATCAGTATAGTTTTCTTGCCTGCCTCCATCTGAGGGTTAATTTATCAATCTTTTTAAGAACAAAACTTCCTATTTTCCTAAACACTGCATTATTAATAGGTTGCATATGACACCAGAAGTTGATGTGCATATGGAATGACACGCAATGGAGCACTGTAACCTCAGGGATCCTGGTTATTCCTGTAACCTTTCTTTAGAACCATGCTTTCATCTTTATTAATTTGGAATTTGGAAAGCTATTTACTGCTGTAACATTTAGATGAGATCCAATGCACCACTGAATCCAAATCCAATAGTAAAGACTCAGAAAATTCCGTTTCCAAGGGTCCCCAATTTCCAAAAATGCTTGTAACATAGAAGGAGGCCATTCAGCCCTCACGCATGCCAGCATTGTGCAAGAGTAAATCACCAAGACCCACCTTCTCACTTTTTCTCTCAATGTTGCAGTTTTTTTTTCAGGTGCTTATTGAGATCCCTTCTGAAAACTAAAATTCGATGCATACAGTCTCTTATGCAGTATATCACAGACTCTAAACATACACTGCTGAACATGTTTTTCCCATGTTGCATTTGGTTCTTCGCCTTTAATTATGATCCTTCTACCAATGGGAATAGTTTCTCCCTATCTACTCTGTGTAGACCTCTCAAAATTTTAAGCACTCTATATCAAATCTGCTTTCAACTTTGTCTTTTCAAAACAATTCCAGTTTCTCCGAAAATTCCAGGTCGCAGGAGTTCCTCATCCCTGAAACCATTCTTGTGAATCTATTCTTCATCTTTCCAATTCCAATCCTTTCTTCCCTCAAGTGAAAATTTGTGCAGGTAATAGTTATTCAGTAATGCTGAAACTTGTTATTTTAGAGTCATTTTTATGTTTCATGTACCATTTTAAATGAATAAGTAACAATTTTGTTCAGTGACAGTGATCTTGTCTCTGAATTGTATAGTTGAGGGTTCAAGTCCCTACTGAAGGATCTGAAATCACAACTTTAGTTCACACTTGTGTGTCTTACAGAAGAAAGCCAGGAGACCCATTTTCATTCCAAACAGCAGTGGATCAAGACAAAAGTTGGGTGAAAAGCAAAATATTGTTGAATTTCTGACAGAGACTTGAGTCTTGCAATTTTCCAACAGATTTCCACTTAGACATCCAGCCAAACCATATGGGAACCTGGTGCATATATTGAATGAGAAATCTAAGACCATGGCCGTGTGAATTTCTGACCACAATTCCTTGCAAGTGAAGAAGCGTGTGAATGGAAGTTTGCCCCTCAGTCTTTAACTTTCACTGAGTCTGCTTTTACTTATCGTATGTCGAATTTACAAGATTATCATTGATAAATCAAGTGGTATTTTCAAATGATAAAATGTAGGCAGCAATGTGGGACTTGGATGTGCAAATATTTGAGATCTTGGATGCATATTTGGAAATAATTGAGTTGATTAATGTTCCAAAACTACTTCTCACGCATACAATCTGTTACAGAGATCAGCAAGCACATTATTGCTATTCAATTGCATCATGCAGCCTTATATTATTGAACATGGTCATGTTTTAAACTGCTTTTCCTTTGGAGTTAGGTAAAGTTGAAATACATTTGTAATTCTCAGATTTGATAATGCTATGGGTGTTTTTTTGGTGAGCTTCCTGTCAAACGGACTCGTTACTCATCTCATCTTGTGAGTTTGTCTGCACGGAGGTGGGTTTGATCTTGTTATATGAGAGTGGGAAAACAAATTGCCAGAATTATGACACTTTCTGTGGAAGTGGGTGTTAGCGGGCTGAATGATGTGATTAAAATTTCATGGCTTTGCAGCAAGTACTGCTTTAAAGTTAGAGTAATTTATTTAGTTTGGTGTGGTTTTGTCGATTTGCAGCAGTATGTGAGAATACAGGGGACTATGACTCAAGCAGAGTGTAAATCTCTGAGCAGAAGTCTCCATTCTGATCTCTGATTTGAGTAAGAGCAAGCCATCACTTCTATCCTTTATGTGAAAAGGAACAGTTGTTGTAATATGTGCAAAACTGTTAAGTGCAAACTCCAGTTTCAAATGAAGCTATGTTCAGAGAAAATTATATCTAACTCGCTAGCTGGAGATTTTTGAAGAGATTACTGGTAGGATTAATGAATACTGCATTGTCCATGTGGTACACATGGACTTCCAAAAGCATTTGATACAGATCCACACAACAAACTTGTGAGAAAGATCTACCTCATGGAATAAAAGGAAACATAGCTACGTGGATCCACGTAGAAAACAGACAGCATTTGTTCATGGGTACTTTTTTAGATTGGAGGAACCTTTGTTGGAGGTTCCCCGGATTAGTTATTAGGACCCTTGCTTTTCCTAATGATCTAGATCTTGGTGTGCTGAGGACAGTTTCAAAGTTTGCAGGTAACGCAAAACCTGAAATAATTGTAAGCTGTGAGGAGAACAGAGTACAACTCCAGAATCATAGAATCCCTGCTGTGTGGAAGCAAGTCTTTCGGCCCATTGAGCCCACACTGGCCCTCCAAAGAGACCACCCCCTACTCTGTCTCTATAACCCTGCATTTCCCACAGGTAATCCACCTAGCCTACACATCCCTGGACACAATGGGCAATTTAACATGGCCAGCCCACCTAACCTGCACATCTTTCAACTGTGGCAGGAAACTGGAGCACCTGGAGGAAACCCATGCAGTCATGGCGAGAATGTGCAAACTCTACACAGACAGTCGCCCAAGTGTGGAATCCGACCTGGGTCTCAGGCACTGTAAGGCAGCAGTATTAACCACTGAGCAACTAACACAGACAAAGTTGTTGGAGTAGACAAATAGGCGGCAGATGTAGCTCAACACGCAGAAGTGTGAGGTGATACACCTTGGTACAAACACATGAAGAGAATTTATGAAATAATGACTATTATTTCACAGCATATGTAGAGCAGAGAGGTTAATGAGTACATGTGCATAAGTTTTTAAAAGTGGCAAGACGAGTAGACAGAGCTGCTAATAAAGCAAGTGGTATTCTCGGCTTCATTAATGGGAGCATAGACTACAAAGGCATGGAGGTTATGATGACCTTATATCGGACACTGGTTAGATCGCACCTGGAGTATTGTGTCCCGTTCTGAGTGCCACACTTTATAGAAAGATGTTTCTAGAGAACAGAGAAAGTACAAAAGAGGTTTACGAAAATGGTTTGAGTGATGAGAAGCTTCAGTTATGAGATAGGTTGGAGACGTTGGGACTGTTTTCCTTGCAGAGAACAAGACTGAGAGGAAAACTTATAGAAGTGTTCAAAATCATAATTTGTTGAGACAGAATAGATTGTGAAAATAAAACTGTTCCAGCTCGTAGAAGGGTTGAGAACCACACAGCACAGTTTTCAAGTGGTTGGAAAAAGATGAGGTGAGGGAAAACAAAATTTCAGAGTGGGTGGTTTACGTGGGTGGAAGGCACTGCTTGGAAGTGTGGTGGAGGCATTTTTAGTTGCGGCATTGGATGCTTATTTAAATCGAAGCAATGTGCAATAATATGGAGAAAGGGCAGGAATTTGAAAATAAACATCCTCAGACTGCTCAAAATGCAAACATATTGGGCTGAATGACATCCATCCACAATTTTGTGATTCCCTATGACGTTCTGTACTTTGATGCTTTAACTGTAGCCCCATTCCAGCAACTGGAAAACCAGGGGTAGGATTTTGGCCTTTGTAGAGGAACTTGATATAAGTGTCAAATAGTGGTCACTCTGTGGGGCACAGTCAATTGCAATGATTTCCCCTGAATTGGCCAATTCGTGATTGTTGGGAGACCTCGCCACCCAATTAAGGACAGTAGATGGACTCTAGAGACTGACAAGCTAGTAAGGGAGCCTCTTGCTTGGAAGCAGCAGAAACTTGAGGTTCAGATAAGAGAGAGTGCCTCAATATTGAAGTGCCTACTCTTCAGCTTCTTAAATTTGTTAGCTTAGAAATAGAATCAGCAACTGAACCACCATTGTGCAAGGGAAGCATGCCAAGCAGGCAAACGTGGCCTCAAAGCCTGCTTAAATATTAACTCTGATGAATTCTCTCCAGTTGGCGACACAGTCATAACATGTCACGTTATGTAGAGCACACAAAACCAAAGCCAGTTCAATGAAATTGGCCAATGCTCATCAGCTGGAATTATTTCAAAGATGGTTACCAGAAGACAACAAAGTAATTTGGAATAGGCTAGCACCAAAAGATATAAATGAATATTTGCTTGATTAAGTTTTGTATTTTGTAGGTGTCACCTTGGAATTAGACTCATGCTTAGACCCAGGAATTCCTGTAAACGGGCGACGACATGGAAACAACTTTTCAATTGGATCAACTGTGACTTTCAGTTGTTGCCCTGGTTACACATTAAGTGATGATGAGCCCTTGATATGTGATGATAACCGTCAATGGAACCACGCTTTACCAAGCTGTGAAGGTAAGTGTACATCTCTCGTTGCCGACCACAAAAATTATTATTACTATTACTAAAATCGCAACATATAAGGAGCATTTGTGCTACTGTTAAGAGACTTGAGAATTATTAACTCAACAATTTGAAATCCTCTTATCATTTAATTCATTGTTCATCAAAGTTATTTCTATTGAAACAATTAACATTCAACAGCCATTCAAAAACAAAATGTGGGTAGAATTAAAAGTAAGAATGAAGAGAAGTTAAAATCAGAGAAAGCAAATTTATTACTGGCTTACCTAAAGATTTAAGGATGAGAACAAATGCCAGCAACTAGACTTTGAAAATAATTCTTGAGGTTGAATTTCTGATATTTCTTTGCTGAATTGATATAATTTTCAAGGCCTGAGAACTCAGAGCTAAGATTTTCATTGCTAAAAGAACTAGGAACTGAACCTGTTCAATATTGATTTTAATATATTATTACATAATAGTTGGGAATGAAACTAACTGTATAGTGTATTATAGTCATTCAGAGAGACCCAAGTTTTACAGATAATACAGAAGGAAATTGAAACATTGGCCTTTATTTCAAAAAGGAATAGAGCATATAATTAGGGAGATCTTGCCAAAACTATACAAGCCACTAGTCAGAGCACACCTGGAACAACGTGAACAATATTGCTGGCCTTATCTAAGTAAACTTCTACTGACATTGGAGACAGTCCAGAGAAGGTTCACAATATTGATTCCAGGTAGAGAAGAATTTTCCTCTGAGGAGAGTTTTAGGAGGTTGGGCTTGTACTCACTGGAGTTTAGAAGAATGAGAGGCAAACGTATGAAACATAAGATTTTTAGGAAGCTTGACAGGGTGGAGATAGAGAGGTTACTTTTCCTTGCAGGAGAGTTTTGGGCCAGAGAGCATAATCTCAGAGTAAGATGTCATGCATTTAAGATAAAGATGGGGAAGTTATTTTTCTGCCAGAAGACTGTCAATCCATGGAATCTTTACCTCAGAGTGCTGAGTTATTAAATATATTCAAAGCTCAGATAGATTGATTTTTAATAAGTAAGGGAATCAGGAGTGAAAGGGAAAAAGTCAGGAAAGTGGAGTTGAGGTTCATATAATCTCATTGAACGATAGAGCAGACTCAATAAGCCAAATGGCTTGTTTATGCTCCTACCTCTAATCGTTGTCTCAAGGGTATTAGATACTGGTAACGGTTTTGCTGTAGTAGGATACAAATTCAATCTTTAGATTGAAAACAAAATTTTTATTCCACTTCTGCTAAAGCCCAATCATGAATCCAAGAAATAACCGCCCTCTGATAATTAAATTATTAAATTATACTTAACTGTACTATAGCTTTGGACACAATTCCAACAAATAACAATTTTGAGCAAAACACTTCCTATATTTGTCCTTTTAAATGTAACAGTTGTGCACGTACTGCATTTATGACTTCAATAAGAAACATCAGGGAACAGTTTGACTATTGGAATAGCTGGGCATATTCTGGTTATCATTCTGTAGCGATAAACTCCCATGGAATAGCTATGAGGAGTTCTGATCCATTTTTATTCAACATGCTGTGACTGACTGTAGTTTACCATTGGCATCCTCATAATCAATGAATTGGTGATTACAAATTAAATAGACATTAAACTCCTTCTACAGCAAGGAACTTCATTTTAAAGCAATTCAGCAGTGCACAGGGTCCTTGGAGATGGTTTTATTTGATTTGTTTAGTATTTCGAAAATTGCTTTCTTTTAATTTATTTCAAACCAAGTAATTCTCAGTTGCTACAGAGTGCCTCATGAAACCAAACAAAAACTTGTATTTATGTAGCTTTCTTAGAATCATAGAATTCTACAGTGTGGAAGCAAGACATTCGACCCATCAAGTCTACACCAATCTTCTAAAGAGCATCCCACCTAGACCCACCCCCTACCTCATCCCCTGTAACCCTGCATTTCCCGTAGCTAATCCACCTAATCTGCACACCCCTGGACACCACGGACAATTTAGCATGGCCAGTCTACCTAACCTACACATCTTTGGTCTGTGGGAAGAAACTGGAACACTCAGAGGACATCCACTCAGACATGGGGAGAATGTGCAAACTCCGTACAGACAGTTGCCCGAAGGTGGAATCCAACCAGGGCCCCTGGCCCATGAGGCAACAGTGCTTACCGCTGAACCTTCATGCTGCCCCATAATGTAGTAAAACAACCTAGGCACATCATGAAACAAACTTTGACACCATAATGCAAAAGGAGTTTTTGGGACAGTGGACCAATGACTTTGGCAAAGAGATAGATTTTAAGGAACTTCATAAAAAAGGAAGAGAGAGACAGAGGTATAGAGATGCCCATTTATCTGCTCCTTCTTCAGTATCCAAAGGCCGAAACATACCTTCCAGGTAAAGCAGCACTTTACCTGCACTTCACACCATCTAGTCTACTGCATTCATTGCTCACAATGTGGTCTCCTCTACATTGGGGAAACAAAACGTAGACTGGGCAACGGCTTTATAGAACATCTACGTTCTGCCTGCATAAAAGACCCTGAGCTTCCAGTTGCCTTCCACTTCAACACACCACCCTGTTCCCTGGCCAACATCTCTGCCTCTGGCTTGCTGCAGTGTTCCAGTGAAGCTGAGTGCAAGCTGGAAGCACAACACCTCATTTCCACTTGGGGCCCCTGCAGCCCTTTGGACTCAATATCGAGTTCAATAATTTTAGAGCCTAAACTCTCCCATGTCCCAGCCCCCTACCCCATACACCAGGCCTTGTATTCACATAGCCTGCCATTACATGCCACATATTGTTAACCACTAGCAGTCTCCACTAACATCTGTTCACTCTCCTGGCCAGATAGTTATCCACTCCTTTGTCTGTCCAACAGTTCTTCTCTCTTTTTGGGATGTATCCCTACCTATCGTTTACTCCTTCCACACCGACACCACCAGCACCCCCACCCTCACCACCCCGCACCACCCCCCCACCCCCCCACTTCCCGCTCTATCTTCTGCATACAAACGAACATTTTCCAAGCTACCATCAGTTCTCAGGAAATATTAACGCTGATCTCTCTTCACAGATTCTGCCAGACCTGGTGAGCTTTTCTGAGCAACTTCTGTTTTTGTTGCTGATTTACGGCATCCGCAGTTCTTTTAGTTTTGATTTAAAATCCATGATAGTTCGTTGTCAAAACCAGATATAGAATGGAATCAGAGAATGGTACCTGACACATCATTCAGATCCAATATCGCAGGCCAGTAGGACTCCTCAGCTGGAGCTTGTCCGCTCCATTCATGTTTTTTTCTTTTTTGTTTTGCTGTTTTGTGTTTTCTTTAACCTCCCTTCTTCTCGTTGATGTCCTGAACTCCCAGCCTCAGTGTGGACTCGGACTCGGACTCTCGGCCTCAGCGTGGATTCTGTGAGGCTGCCTGCTGGCCTGGCGTGGATCAGCGTGGCGGTCTCTCGGCCCAGTGTGGCGGTCTCTCGGCCCAGCATGGCGGTCTTTCGGCCGGGTGTAGTGGTCTCTCAGCCCAGTGTGGTGGTCTTTCGGTCTGGTGTGGCGGTCTCTCTGCCTGGCGTGGCGGTCTCTCGGCCCGGCGTGGCTGTCTCTCGGCCTGGCGTGGCGGTCTCTCAGCCCAGCGTGGCAGTCTCTCAGCCCAGTGTGGTAGTTTCCTGGCCCAGCATGGCGGTCTCTTCGTGGCGTGGCATGATGATCTTTTTGCCTCGCATGGCCTCAGCATGGACCTCTTGCCTCAAGACAATTCCAGAGTGGACTGCTGACTTGGAGACCCTCAAGGTGAAGCCCGACATGGTCTGGAATCAAGGTCCAGGGCCAACTAAAGGCTAGGTGCAGCCATGGACAGGGAAGGAAGGACTGCTATTCTGAACTTTTTATTTCTTTATTTTTCTAATTTGTTCATATGATTTGTAATGCTGGACTTCTTATTTCTTTATGTTTCTAAATATGTTTTCCCTTACAGTTTGTAATTAAGAATCTGTATCTAGGTCCTTTGTACTTAAGATGGCGCTGTAAGTGGCGACGTGTAGACTTTTCACTATCCTCATTTGAGTACATGTGACAATAAAGCTAACTCTAATTCTTTAAATAAGGAAACCATTCAACCCATTGCAAATGTGTTGCTTTTCTGATAAAGATGAGCCCATTCATTCATATGCCTCTACTATTTTCTCATACTTTCTTCAAGCCATGTTCCATTATGCTCATGAACCCAGTTATGTATGTCTCTAAAGAATAATGGTCCGAACACTGATGCATGATTGACAGCAATGTACATATCCCTTCCATCTGGAAAAACATCCATTCATTATTCCCCATCCACTGGCATTTCGCCAAATCTTTGTCAATGCTGCGACATCATTTTGAATATTCAATTTTATCAACAAGCTCCTTGTATGCAACCTTATTCAATTAATTTTGAGAATTTATTGGATTTTCTTTATCACTTGCGCTCAGCCAGTTCCTTGAACAAGCATCTTGGAAATTTGTCGGATACAACTTCTTTTTCACTAATTTATGTGTATTGCCCTTTATTTTACTTCAGGCATAAAAATTAACATAATCTGTTATTCCATAATATATAAAGTGTTAACTCGTATTAATATTGACTTGTCTGCTGGACAGTTGGTTTGCGAAACAGTGTGATGCCAACAGCGTGGGTACAATTCCCGCACTGGGTGAGGTTACCATGAAGGGGTCTCCTTTTCACACTCTCCCCTCACCTAAAGTGTGGTGGCACCCAGGTTAAATCACCACCAGTCATCTCCCTCTAATGATAGAGCAACCCTATGGTCTGGTAACACTGTGGCAAGTTGATACAAAATTGAATAGAAGGTATAAATTCAATCCCAGAAACAGGCCATGCAGCCGTACAAGTCGATTCCAGCATATACGCTCCAGCTGAGTAAAAATGTATCTGTGTTATTTGTAATGTTTGTTCATTTGTTGGATATGGGCATCGTTGGCTGGGCATTTATTGTCCATCCCTAGCTGCCCTTAAGAAGGTGGTAGTGAGCTGGTGCATCAACCACTCCATATGATACTGAGTTCGACATTTTGATATTTTCTTGCACTGTGGTTTCTTTCATTATCGCAGTTGGATTTGTTTGTGACTTTCTTACCAAATGTGAATTTTGTCTACCAAAAACGAAAACATTGCTTTCAAGTCTGTTTGACCAAACCTTTACATAAACATCAGAAGCTCCATGAGGTCACCCTTTAGTTTTCTCTTTTCCAGACTGTTCAACCTTCCCTGATAAGTGCAACTTTTCAATTCTAGCATAAGTCTAGTCAATCTTTTTGCAGTATTTCTATACCCTTTGTGTACTTTGAATGCCAGAACCATTCTCAATCTTTCAAGTATGGTCTCATTAATGTTAAATATGTTTATCATACTCCCTCTAATTTTCATTTTTACCCTTCTTAAAAACAAACCCCAAATGATGGATTTACTTTGTGGTCAAACTGTGTTGCTGCTTTTAATGTTGTGGGTACCTCTACTCCTTGTTTCCATTGCTCTGTTGTCCCATTCAGACTGTAACTTTCAAGGCAGTATGCTTCCTCCTTACTTTTTGATCAAATTGTAGCATGATACATGCATCTTTATTGAAGTAGTTTTGCCAATTGCATGCATTTTCCAAGTCTTATGACATTAAATAGAATAGAGATAAGGAAGACTTTGAGTTTGTTAATTCACCTTGCATTCATATGGAGCATACATACAAGAATCAGTCATTAATCTTCTATACGTTATGCTCACATTTGAGCCAATGAGGACAATTAGTGCCAAGAAATTTCATAGCACAAACATTTATAAATGTGTCTCTTAATCTTGAGTTTGTACTTTGATCTGTGCTGCTATGTTACCTGTTAAGATTCTTCAGCCAGATTCTGCATGCTGTTTAAAAAAAAAGTGACTGTTTCTGCGGATAGATTTGTGTAAAAGTGCTCATAATGGGGAACTGTGTTCAAAGAGAGCACAGATCAGAGATTGATGTCACAATGCTGTAGCAATGTCTTCAGTTCATGCTATCCTAATGTATGTTACATACTAAGAGCGCTGCTCAGGTGTGTTTACCTATCATGGCACTTCAACCTTTCTCAAATTTTACATAAGTAGAAATTTTAATTCGAAATCTGTTACAGTCTCTTAAACTGATTGAATTTTGCAGCTGCATAACAATTTAGTTCCTTCAAGTTGAAATATTAAATAAAGCACTGTAGTAAAATTCAATAGTTAGAAATTGCCAATACTGCAATCACGACGGTGAACTGATTGTTTACACTGAAAATCTTAACAGCAATCTTCAGTTTCCATTAGATCCTAACAGGCCAGAAGAAACCAATTTTTGTCTGTCTAAAGCATTTATACTACCTGCATATTAACAGTATCCCCGACTTGAATTTTGAAAGTATTCATTCGAGTTCAGATCCAGAAGAAAGACTTGGCATTGTGCAGTGTTTTACAAAAGTTAATTTAAAATCAGGCAGAAGTTATAATATAGATATGTTAATATTGAAATCATTCCAGAGTTATTATTTATACCACAGTAACTTCAAGGTGAAAGCAGTTTAATAGGACAGAAATCTGCTGCTTTTCATACTTTTTCAAATCATCTGCCAGTATTATCCCCGACACAGTGAAATGCAGTTGTGACAAAGTAATGTTCATTGCATAAGGAATTTATACTAATATCAGATTTCACTTGTATTGGAGCATTATTTTTTGTTTGCTGTTCATTGAACTTTCTAATTTTGCAATGTAATGTTTAATTTATTTCGACTTCTATATATAAAGATTATAAGTCCTATTTCATGCTAAAGTCACAAACCATTATTTATTTTCTGCCTGGTGCTAAGGTGTAGGGCAAAGGAGATGTCTTTTTCTTTCATCGGTAAAAATCTTTTTTCTTTGTTTTAGCTTTCTGTGGTGGCTATGTTCGTGGTACAAGTGGAACTATTCTGTCTCCTGGATTTCCTGATTTTTATCCTAATTCCTTGAACTGCACTTGGATAATTGAAGTGTCGCATGGAAAAGGTAAATCCAACTATTTTTCTTCATAGCATTTTCCTCTTTGGAGTCAACACCGCAGCACCCCCCCAAAAAAAAAATTGTTTAAGAAATTTAAAACTGTAACAGTGAAAACTGCTTCAAACTTTTTGATCCATTATTCAGTTGAACCCTTGAGGAGTATCTGACATCCCTCCCCAGGGCGTCTTATATTTGACTGCAGTCCCACATACAGTGGTTGACTGTAACCTCAGGAATGGCTGAGTGAGTCACTCTGTTGTATGGATCTTTTACTTTGCAGCTCAAGAAAGCCATTGACGTCGTCCTTGAGTAATTAGAGATAGGCAATACATGTTGCTGTTGAAGAAATGTTGACAACCTGAAACTATTATTTCATTTTGCATGAGTGTGTTAATCGAGGTACTACATAAAAGAAATGAACTCTCTGCAAATCAAAAGTTTAATTTTAACAGAATGTGCAAATTGGAATTGATGTGCCAGAGCTGTCAGGGACCAATGTCACTCAAATCTCTATTTCAATATTTCTTTGGTTTATTTTCAGGCGTGCAGTTGGTATTTCACACATTCCACCTTGAGAGTTCTCATGACTATTTAATTATCACAGAAGATGGAAGCTTCACCAATCCTGTAGCAAGGCTCACGGGCTCTGCCCTGCCTCCCACTATCAATGCAGGCCTATTTGGAAATTACGCAGCACAATTACGCTTCATTTCAGACTTTTCAGTTTCTTATGAGGGGTTCAACATCACGTTCTCAGGTAGGACACCTTACTTCCACTCAACCGACTGAAGTTATTTGAAAATTAAAATGTAAAACAAAGGACGAAATGAAAAGCTACCTCTGGAAATGATGTGACGCAACCAGCTGAATGTTGGTCATTTTACTGCCCTGTCAATTTTTAGCTATGATTTTGAATGTTCAAGACTATCAATATCATTGTGCCTATCATGATTAATTGAAAGAAAAATAAGTAACTTAAATGACTGACCTTATGGAAAATATCATCTGATACACAAATCCTCTGCATAATAATTTACAAAATATCCAAAGCTATGTATCGTGAGTGGATTGGAAATCTTGACAGGCATGAACAGAGAAAATAATTTGGTGATTATTATGAATTTGCATTTATTTTTAGCAAAGTGAGCTTTCTATGGAATAGAATGCTCAAGTTTTAGTTTCTTATTGGGTATATCTTCAATTCTGACATACTTAATATTGGAGAGATTAGGGCAAACTTTTTGAATTATTCGTCAATGTCCATTTCTGTTTGTCTGTTTTAGAGATTATCTTTTTGGATCCATCCATAACCACATGCTTCAACAAATAATGAGAAAAATATTTCATATTTTTACAACATACATTTGTTTTGTTGATTTGAAATATTCTCTTTGCAGAGTATGAACTGGAGCCTTGCGATGATCCTGGTGTCCCTGCTTTCAGCAGGAGAATTGGGTTTCACTTTGGAGTGGGGGACTCGTTGACATTTTCCTGCTTTCCTGGATACAGACTCGAAGGTGCTACTCAAATCACCTGTTCTGGAGGGGGACGGCGTGTGTGGAGTGCACCTCTTCCAAGGTGTGTGGGTAGGTGGTCACATGCTTTCATTTCATGCATCCTAAAGTTGAGTTTACTCGAGATTTTGCTAGAAGAAGTTCAGGCACAAAAATAGACCCCCAACAACATGATATTACTCACAATATCAATCAATTCCAAGAATTCCTTAATTTCACATTGACAGCTCCTAGAGACATTTGTTAAAAGTCAAATTGTTAAATTTCAAGAAAAAAGTTGACCATAATAAGTCAATACATCAAAGTTAATTGAGGTTAACTATGAAATCTTGATACTCAATCCTTGGATGATACATAGGGGATACAAATTAAAGACCTGTATATGTGGATTTTTTTGGATACTTAATGGAAGTTATTTTATGCAATGAAGTATAAACAGAGATACAGTTCAACTTTGATAAGGTGCAACTGCTGCAATATAACTCAGGTGGGCCCTCAGCAGATTAGGAAATACAAGTTGTGCTGAAAGCAGGACAAGTGATCACAGAGAGATTTGAAACTGACTGATATGGACCTTCTCTTCATTGGTAGCATGTGGTTACTGAAAAATGTGTTTGTTAATCACAGGTTTATCTCTCTGACCTCGATGTAGTGATGAGTAGGCTTGAGTTCAGCAAAGCTTCCTGCAATCATATAGAAATTAGACGTGTGTCTTATGAAATCTATTATAAATTACATTACATGACATGTTCAGTGTTGTCACTCACAATAGCATAAACATGTGAAAACAGGTGTTTTGAAAAAAATTGAATAATTATCACTAAGCAACTCTTTGCATTATGGTTGTACCATCCATGCCATCATGGATTCTACCTGACCTGTTTAACCACTGAAGTAACTTTCTTTGAATATTTCCCTATTCATGCATGTAATGAAGCAAAACACAAGAATATTCATCTACTCTGTGTTTCGTTGTCTAACTTTGGATTGCTCTCCTCCGCTCCACAGCTTCAAGAACCACCACATTGAATCATTGAAATCTGGGTCTATATTTAAAACCTTCACATCCATTTTTGACCTAAAATTGATCTTTTTTTTTACTGAAGAGATAATTCTTTGCATCACCAGACAATTCTGTGTTCCCTCATTCTGTGCTTGCTGTATGAGATATAAGGTCTATTTATATCACCTACATCTTCCAGCCTTTCTGATAGATCACCATCACGGTCAGCACAAAATATTCTTTCTCCCTACAGAAAAAGTGTAATTCTCTGAGCAGAATCATAATGCAGAGACCTAAGTGCTTGAATTGTGATTGTTGATCTGTTTCAAAACCTCTTCAATTCACTCACTAATATCTTCATTTGAGGTTGGAGCCTAAAATTACACATTTTTAAAATGTAGCCTCACCTATGACACTGACAAATTTGGGAGCATTTCTCTCAACAGCTAAATGCTTTTGTGTTGTGTCTAAACAATTCAGATGAATACCGATCACTATAACTCAAGTTGTGTAGGAGAAGGAAGATTTTCCTGTTTAGACATTTCCCTGAACGTGCCTCAGGTGCAACATAATGTGAGAGATGACTGTTCACATTTTTCCTGAACTGGTTTACATCAATGTCATGAAACAAAAACCTATTGATCTGCTCTTGGCTGAAACTGGCATGCAAACTTCAGTCAAAAATATTTGTGAGGCTTTAGGCCTGTGTCTGTGGTTTGAGGTTTCTGTTCTTCAGAAAACTGTTTCTCCAAACACAAGACAAAGGAAATGTTGCCCTTATATGCAGGTTGCCTTGGAAAGGATCAGATTAGGCTCATCTTTCTTATATGTAATTCAGCTTCTGTGTAGAATAATTTCTTCACTCTGAAGAAAAACCTAGGAAGTAAATCATGGATACCTATACACAATAACCGCATCTTTTCTCATTTGTTAACGGGATGTGAACACTGATGGTGAAGCCGTTATTTGTTGACCACCCCCAAATGTCTCAGAGAAAGTGACTGTGAGCCTCCTTTTGAACTGCTGGAGTCATGTGCTCCACGAATATCATTAGTATTGTTTGCAAGGAATTCCTAGAATTTGAACCAGCACTGTGAAGAAACTATATTGTGATTCCAAGTGCTACAGTTCCAAGTCAGGATGATGTGTGACTTGGAGTGGAACTTGTACCTAGTGTTCCCATATGTCTCCTGCCCTTGTATTTCTCGGTAATCGAGATTGTATGTTTATAAGGTGCTGTCAAAGTAGGCTTGGTGAGTTGCTGAAGTGCATTTTGCTGATGGTAAATATTACTGCTGCTGTCTATTGTTGGTGGACAAAATGCATCTTTAAAGCAGTGGATGAAGCATCAACTGGGTGGCCATTTTTTTTCCGGGTTATTTTGAGTTCCTCGAGTAATGATACTGCTGCACTTATCAATCAAATGGAGAATATTCTATCGCACCCTTAAATTGTGCCTTAGATGTTGGACAGGCAGTGGGGACTCAGGAGGTGAATTACTCACCACGTATTTCCCAAACCCTAACCTGCCTTTGCATCCACAGCCACTGACTTGTCCAGCTAAGCTTCTAGTCAATGATAACCCTGAGGATGCTGCTATGAAATGACGCAGCATTGATAATGCCATTAAATGTCAAAGGGAGGTGATTAGATTCTCTCATTTTGGGGAGAATCCATTGATAACAATCAGCATCTCTAACCTTATAATGAAGAGAAGGTCATAGATAAGCAGGTAATGACAGTTGATTCTAAGACACTACTCTGACAAACTCCTGCAGTGATGTCCTGGGGCTGAGATGATTGATCTTCAACAACTACACCACTGTCCTTTCTACTGGGTATGACTCCAACCACTGGAGAGCTTTCTCCCGATTTTCAATTATTTCAACTTAGTTCAGTCTCCTCGGTGACAAACTCAGTTGAATGATGCTTTGACATTATGGGTAGTCTTTCTCATTTCCCCTCCAGCATTCATTTCTTTTGTCCAGGATTGGAGCAAGGAAGACCAAGACTGTAATGAAATCTGGAACCAAATGCCTTGGCAGAACATAGACTGAGGATTGGTGAGCAGGTTATAGCTGAGTATTGTTGTCGGATAGTACTGCTGATGATGGACAGAACCTGCCTCTTGTGGACAGCACCCGACTGGGCACTTTTCAACCTTGTAGAGGTGGATGCCAATGTTGCAGCTGCACTGGAATAAATCAGGCTGTTTTCAAGGCTTAAAAGCTTTGCCATATTCCATGCCTTCAGCCATTGACTGATATCAGATGGAGTGAATTGAATTGGCTGAAGGTTGGTACCTGTAATGTTGGAAATCTCATGAAGACATTGGTCATGCACTTAACAGATCTGTTTGAAGTTGGTTGTGAATAATTAAGCCTCAACTTTTTGCATTGATGTGCTTGCTTGGCCAACATTTAGATTGCAGATATTTGTATAGACTCCTTTTCTGGATATCTGTTGACATTTCTGCCAGCATTCACAACTGAATGTGACATACCTGCTTCTTTTGGATCTATTAGTTGTGGGATTGGTTCACTCTCCCTAAAGCATGTTGCTTTTGTAGCTTCACCAAGATGATCTCTCATTACTAGGTTCAGCTGGTGCTGCCCCTGGAATGCAGGGTAATCTGCTGGATTAATGGCATTGATACAGTGAGGGATATGACAAGGCCTGATGTTACGGACTGCTGATGATAGAACCTCAGAACTAGGCTACGTCTATTCTAAATCTATCACAGTCAGCATGGTTGAGGGCCAAAGTATCCAATGGAGAAATTCTCAGTGTGAAGATGGGATGAGTAATGGGGATGGTTACTCCTGTTAATACTGTCAAGGACAGATGCAATTGTGACAAATAGATGAGCGACGTTGACTCTCTTACTACCTGCCACAGCCTAGTCTGGAAGGCATGTCTCTCAGGACTCAGTCAACTCTGTTGACAGTGGTGCTAATGGGTCAGTGTTTATGGTTGATGTTGAAATTCCCCACCCAGAGTTGGTTCTGTATCTTTGAAATCCATAATGCCTCTTCTAATTGGTTTTAAAATGAAGAGTACTGATTGATCAGTTGATAATAGGTGTTATTCAACAAAAAGTTTCCTTGCCTATGATGTCATGAGGCATTGTGAGATTCAGAGTCAGTGTTGAGGTCTCCCAAAGTCAATCCCTGCAATCTATGTAATCATACTTCTGCCATCTCAGGTAGGACTGTTCTTTTTAGCAATCTCCACCACACTCTCTGCTGACATGATCATCCTTAATCATCCTCTCCTCCTCAATGCTGTGCTACTGCCATCAGCCCTGGAACCACCCATTATAACCAAACCCAAGCGCTCTATCACTTATCTGGTATTCTGCTTAGTTGGCACCTGACCTGCCTGGCATATCTAACACCCTGACTTCTCACTTAGCTTACACACTTACCCTTTCACAGCAGCCATTAAAATGTCTCACTGGATGTGTAATGCTGGACATTGAAATCTCAAAGCACTGGTTTCTACAAAGGGAGGATAGTTTGTCCTCTCCTGACAATGCTGCACCACATGGGAACTATGTTGACTTCAGATATACTCTGTGTGTCTGACATTCTATAAACAACTTCTTTTTTCATTCCTTATGTGATGCCAACTTATTTTCTAAACATCATACTTATCCATAACTTTTGAAATATTTTTTTCCAATGATAACTATTTTTTAGATTCTTTTGTTGGAAGGTTTTTTCCATATAAGGTACCTGTTCAAAATACTGTAATAGCCAGACCTTTGAGGAGTCGGACTTTACTGAATGTCACGATCATGAGATACATGACTTTCAATAATAGATGATGGCGTTGGCCATATATACTAACATCTGAGATCATTGTTTAATGTTACATTCTGTCTTCTTTTCCTCTTTGCGCAGTGCTGTCTATCATTGTACTAATGTGCACTATTTCTGCTGCATCAATATTGAGCGATGATTTATGCTGAGATTCACTCCAAACTCAGCACCTCTCAATGGGCCACCAATAGATCCCTTTTCTCAAGATTTCGTTGACTTTCTTCCTGTTGCTGAATCGACAGGGAATGGAAGCACGCGGTATGCTGAAATTGAGTTGGACAGCTGAAACTAGGATTTGGACTCAGGCTCTCTGACTGAAAATTCAAAACTCCATCTATATATGCTGAGATGGTGTAGTACTCTAGTGCCACAGTGTGGTGGCTATGATTGTCCAATTCTGCTCTGAGAAACCATCAACCAGAAGCATGAGTTCTTTTCCACCATTGGTGGAGAAAAAAGTTACAAAGGAAATGCATTCCCAATTTGCACACAAGTCACCTGCTAGCTCACTCAAAGCAGTATTGGTAAAGGTTAGGGTGTTGGACACACATCCACATTCTTGGCTGCAGCCACTGTGTTTGCCAGGAACCTAGAGAGTTGTGTGAAACTGTTGTTGGATAGTTTCAACTAGAATTAGCAGAAAACTGTGAAAAAGAAATTGAATTCAAAATCTAGCCGAAGAATAATTTTGCGATAGATGACAGTGAAGCAGAATGCTTTCTAAACTGTGATATGATGATGGCCATACGCTGTTGAAAAATACAACAAGATTGTGCATACATATAATAAAAAAAATTCCAATGTTCACCCAGTGTTTTGCATACCTAACAGCAAAACCTATAGAGAATGAACCTTCACCTACCACATACATAGTGACCCAAGGAGATATTGTCCCATTCACTACGTTAACAGATTTCTCGCAGTTTCCACATAATTTCATAACTTGGAGAGACTGCAAGAAAATACAAACTGACAAGCTTTGCTCACAAACATGGAATCTCCAAATTAAGTACAGCATTTCAAGTTATGGCAGCAACGAATTGGACAGCATTGCATGAGCAGCAGTTGATGACATGGAAGCCTATCTTTATGCTGAAACACGTTTGATAATGAATCTATTCTACCCTATTTAATAGTTATTTAAAAGTTCACATATTACTCTTAGGATTCCAAAATTATCTTGTTTTCTGCATAATTACCCTCAGCAAATCTTGCAGCTAATAAGCTGAATAAATGGTTCACTTTTGTGATTTTTAAATATTATGGTTAATAGTGCTTACAACTGAGGAAAAAAGTTCACAATTTCCAGTTCAAGTCTTAGACTTTTGGTGTCTCTTGTGTCACATAACTGACACCCAATGTGTGGGCTGTTTACGTAGATGACCTTACGTGGGAATCCTAGAGGATATTTTTGCTGCAGACAGCAATTATATGTAGTATTATGTAACTGAGTTGTAATTTGTGTCTTTATTTTCTCTGCATTTACTCTAAAAGATGTTTTAACTGCTTGCACTTTGTATTTGTGACTTAGCTGAATGTGGAGCCTCTGTATCAGCGACAGAAGGTACTCTCCTGTCACCAAATTATCCGACCAACTATGAGAACAATCATGAATGCATCTATAGAATAGAGACTCAGTCAGGGAAAGGAATCCGCCTTCGAGCCAGGATGTTTGAACTTCAACAAGGCGATGTTGTCAAGGTAACAGTGACCTCAGTAGACGTAGTTTCTTTTGTTTATACAAAATAATCTAATCAATAGTTTCACTCATTCTGCAGAATTTCAACAAGGTAGATATGTTGAAAGTAAAATTATACACATGGATTATTTGAAGCGACTTGAACTACGAATTTATTGATTGAAGAACTTTAATTCAGATAATACATCATTGGTTTTCGCCTTTAATTTTGATAGTTGAACTTTAAATGGTTCTTATTTCCGTTTGAACTATGATCAACTAAAACTCTGTCAAAAATATGATCAATGAATCATAGCCAGGAAGTTTTCAAGTTTAATTTTTGAACATTTGTGAATTAATTCAAATTAGTCAAGGTGGCAGCTGGGGTCTCCATTGCATTAGGTTAGGGAAGAGAAATCACAAGACTGGGTTCACAGAGGTTTGTTTTATTCCACTGACTTTGTGCAACTTTTTTGCTGATTCTCACTGTCCAGTCTCATGTAAAATGAAAAGAAACATTGGGTATATCTATATTTCATATCCAGAGAATGTCCTGCATTTTGCTTTTCTCAATTTACATTCTTTCTTGACTTAGCCTTCCTTGGAGTGATTCTAGGGTAACAATCTGGGTGGGGGGATGAACATTCCAATATCTCATCAGAATGCAACTCTATGCCATTTGTGACAAAGTTACGCTTTTTGGGACAAAACCCAAGCGCAGCAGAAATTCAGGAGGCCTTACAGCATCTTTTTCTTTTAATTCACTCATGAGATATAGGTGTCACTGGCTGAGGTAGCATTTACTGTCCATCCCTAGTTGCCCTTCAGAAGGTGGTAATGAGTTGCCTTCTTGAACTGCTGCAGTTCATGTGCTGTAGGTAGATCTACAATACTGTCAGGAAGGGAATTGCAGTAATTTGACTCAGTGACACTGAAGGAACAGTGATATATTTCAAGCTGGGATGGTGAGAGGTTTGGAGGGGAACCTTGCAGGTGGTTCACATGTATCTACTGCTTTTGTCCTTCTAGATGGCATTGGTCATGGGTTTGGAGACTTGGTGAAATTTTGTAGTGCATCTTGCAGATGGTGCACACAGCTGTTACTGAGCATTGGTGGTGAAGGGAGTGGATGTGGTGCTAATCAAGCAGGCTGGTTTGACCTGGATGGTGTCAATTATCTTGAGTGTTGGTTGAGCTGCAGTCATCTGGGCAAGTGGAGAGTATTCTATCATAGTCCTGACTTGTGCCTTGAAGGTAGTGAACAGGCTTTGGGTGTCAGGAGGTGAGTAATTCACTACAGGATTCCTAGTCTTTGACCTGGTCTTGTAGCCACAGTACTTATACGACAAATCCAGTTCAGTTTCTAATCAATTGTAAACCCAAGGATTTTAGTAGTGGGGGATTCAGTGAAAGTGATACTATTAAATGTAAAAGAGCAATGGTTTGATTCTCACTTACTGGAAATAGTCATTGCTTGGCCCCTGTGTAATGTGAATGTTACTCACCACTTGTCAGCCTCAGCCTGGACATTGTCCAGACCTTGTTCCATTTGCGCACGGATTGTTTCAATATCTGAGAAATCACAAATGGTGCTGAACATTGCATAGTCATCAGCGAACATCCCCATGTAAGACCTTTTGATGGAGGGAAAGACGTTGGTGAAGCAATTGGAGACCATTGGGCCAAGGACTGCAGAAAGCAAAACACTGTTAATATTTCGAGTCTAGCAGCACTTTCTATTTTCCATCTCCAGTACTCGCAGTACTTTGCTTTCTCTTAACCATTTTTCGGGTGCAGTGTGTCTTCACTTCTGTACTGGGGGAGAGCTGTTTTGAAACAAAGGATTACTTAAACTTACATATTAGGTGACAGCAAGTGATGAAATCCAAATGTTGTATTTCTAACTGCTCGGAAGTAAATGACTGAGTTTCCATTGATAGATTTTATCTCAACATTCATAGTTCACCACTTCTTATCTGTACTTGAACAATCAGTTATTGTATAGAGTAAAAAATATTTCTCTTATTTTTGGTAGAATTGAAGCTTGGACTGTTTCAAACAAACATCTCATTCATGATCTCAAACTGAGGGGTGTTAATCGCATTTTTGGTACTGTAGTAAAGATAATGGTTCTGAAGTGACTTATGTTCATATTACATTGGCTCCACCCATTCTATTGATGTCGCACAAACTCTGTGGGCGGAGACAAGGAACTCCACTCAAGCCTTGGTTAGGAGCAGCCAGATCTGTGCAAGCTCCCTAAGATGCTCGTAATTATGCCTGACCAAACGTAGTTATACTTACTGCAATTATACATGAACTAAGAACAGAGCTTTTTCTGTCGATACCATACAGTGGTGTATTCTCGACCAGTAATCACTGACTAGACCGTGGGCAAACAAGGATTGGTAGCAGTGAGCTACCTCAAACATCCCTTACCCAGTACCACATACTGCAAGAGGTGGCACATACCACAAGGTTTGAGAAATGCTCATCTAGGAAAATATCACAATTATTATCATTCAGTTGGATCGTATCACTTTATTAGTTTTTCACATTTATTTGACAATTTGCAAACAGTTTTACTTTTTATTTCTATTGTTTCTATTCACCTTGGGCGGGTCACAGCGGATCCTCTATTACTTTTACAGAGTTATGTCCTGATCTTTGATAATCAGCTGTTGATTACGAAAGGCAACTTACCAAGTGAGGAACATAAGGCACTGCTGGATTAAGGCAGGCATCTTCAGAAAATTCTGGAGACATTTACACATTCAAATGTATTTATTTAACAATAACTGCTAGTCATGAATCAGGGGTATAATTTCATTTCCACCTAGAGAAGCACTTGCTGCTTTTCTCTTCCCTTGTTTCTGAGCAACATTATTATTCAGATGGGACAATGACTTAGCTCTCTTCTGTGGATTTGGCCTTGGAAGTAGCATTTCAAGAGGCCCAAGTTGTTTGAAATGCTCAACTTCCTTCCTCTAGAGTTGATATCTGCCTCAGAAGCACAATGTCATCAGCATAGAATCAGTAAATTCAGTCTAGGTTAACTGGCTAAACAACTTGAGACATAAGAGACCAACTTTTATACAGTGAGTTGTTATGATTTGACACATTATGAAGCAGAACGTTATCTTTATTGTAGAGTTCAAGAGTTGCAGGTTTTCTTGTTCCATGCTAATTCTGTACTGTTTCTTTGTACTTTGTGTCAGTTGGCCCTGTAGGAAACAGCAGCATAACCATGCTGCACTGTACATGGGTGTCGCAGCTGCCATAGCTGAATAGTTGGAAATAGGAAGAGGGGGCCAATGAGGATGGCAGCATTGATAATTTTGTGAGGATCAGCTGAAGTATCTGGATTATACAAGATCTCTAAATATCAAGGCTGTAGATACATGAATAATGCTGTTCTATTTTCAACATTTAAAATTGCAGCATTGACAGACAGCAATAATCTCATTTCATTTTTATAATTTCCCTTTATTCTGGATAGAATTTTTTAAAGGATACATACTTGACCCTTTGCTGAATGCAGAGGCAGTCTACATTCCTTTGTACTTGCTTCACAATTCACTAAGATCATGACTATTGATCTGCTATCTCAATTCCAACTTGGTGCCTGTTCTTATTATTTATTAATTCTTTTAGTGTTCAAAGATTGACAAACCTCTATTGATCTCTGACTTCAATATACTAAATAACTGGACGTCTACATCTGCATGGGGTATGGGAATTCCAAGTATTCATAGTATTTTGAGTGAAGGAGTTTCTCCTTAGCTCAGTCCTAAATGGCTAACCCCTTTCTCTGAGATTGTGATCCATTGTTTGAGCCTTGACTTCCCTGCATCTGTCCTGTAAAGCCAGACAGCAAATCTATGCTGGTTCTCTCTAACAGGCTGAAAGTTTTCAAGTTGTTTAGTTGCCTTATTCTCATAGTTTCCAGCAATTCCATGAAAATAAATATTGGGCTGTTTCTTTTTCTCCTGGTTATTTGAGGATCAATGAACCATAACTTTACTATGGGGAAGAGTGAGGAGGCAGATTGTGATTCTATCTTAGCCAGAAAGAGGGACCAAAGTGTGTGCTGTTCACAACATTGTGAAGGACAGTCTAGTCAAGTGAACACACACACACACACACACGCACGCACACACTCTCAACCACATACACACACACTCTCTCCCTCTCCCTCTCTTACTTCTTCTGATACTCTCATCAAAAGGAAGTGTCTGAACTAAGATCGTTGCTCAGCGCAAATTTTATGAAATGTTCTAACCCACGACAAAAACAGAAATTGCTGAAGAAAGTCAGCATCACATATGTTGCCAGACCTTCTGAGTTTCTGCAACAATTTCTCTTTTTGTTCCAGATTTCCAGCATCCACAGTTCTTTCTTTTAGTTTAATGTTATCACTCATTTTTAAAAGCTGAAAAACATTTGGTCCTGGGGATTTGCAGCTCTTTAGTGCCATTCATTTCTTCATTTCTATTATTTTCCTTCAATTGATTGTGTTGAATTCCAGACACTGATTCAGTTGTAGTTTCCTCAGTATGTCTGGTGTGCTGACCTGTCTTGTAAATGTTGATGCAGAATAATTTTTCAGTAAAAATGCTGATTTCTTTATTTTCATTGACAATATCAGCATTCACAGAGACTCATTCTGCTAGGCTGCTTACTAGTTAGTCAGAAGTTAAAATTAATCTAAAATTTGACACAAACTGCAATGGCATTACTCCGTATAATAATGGCTATCATGGTATAAAACTGTTGTTTTTATTTCATTGTTATTCTTGCTACCAATTCATCTAAATCCAGCTTCATTATTTTCATACCAAAATGAGTTTCTCACTTATTTAGACAATTTTAACTTTAATAGAAATGAATATTAGTCAGGATGTGTCAGGGTTAGCTAATCTTATATCATTTTACACCATGATCAATGTTAAAATTATTACCAGTTATTTCCACATTTTCACTTTCTTCACATGTTATAAAATTTGGAGTTTTAACAGGACAAAGAAATAATTAGATCACATATTTTATGAATATCATATTTTAATTTCCTTAGCTTTTAGAGTGTAAACCAAAAAAGGGAGATACTGCTTTAAACCAAGGAAACCGTAAAGTGATGTCAACAGCTTTAAAATCTTGTTTATTGGAGCACATTGTCATTTGCTACTATTTTCCTGGAGCAGAGACCCAAAAGCAGACAGCACAGAGCTGATGGGTTCTGAAAGAGGAGACAGTTGCTTGGCAACAATGATTTGTTAGGTCTGACCAGCTGACCGTGGCTTGTTTTGGAGCAGTGCAATGGGAAACCACTTAGCTTTCAAAGAGAAATCATCAACTAATCTCTCCCCGTGTCTCTCTCCTGTGTGGAGGGACCAGAAAGACTCTAGTAACAGCTAGCTGGCTCCACACTTAGCTTTTTCCACAAATTACCTCGTTGAAATGAACAAAGGACAGTCACTTTCAAAGATGCTAAAAGAGCAAAAATCTCACCCTGTGAATGAAAGACAGCATTGGTAAGCAAACAACCTTATCCTACTGCTAAAATGCAAAACAGAATTAGAAGAAACCAAAATAAAACAAATTTGTCAACTCATGTGGTCCAGATTGATCCTATCAAGCTGTTTTCATGTTCTTTTTTTAACGCTTTTTCCACATTTAGTATCCATGCCTTGTCTTTGTATGTCTGTCTGGTTGTGAAAGGCAACAATTCAATAAGGTGTAAAGTTGAAGTTATACAGAGTTATAAGTTAGCAATTTGTGTTTTTTTTTTCTCCCATAGATTCAAACTAATCAGTTTGCAATAAATGTTTTTCTTTTGTTTAAGTACAGAAATCATATGAGTGCACCCTTTTAAACTGAGTTTGTCAATCCAGTAAAAGGGGATTTTGGATACTTTCACATAGGTAACTAGAGGTCAGTTAGCTTAACTTCTGTCATTGAGAAATGTTGGAGTCTATTATAAAAGCATGTAATAGCGAGCATTTAGATACACAGCAGAGTCAGTGTTACTTAATGATGGGGAAAAGATATCTGACAAATTAATTACAATTCCTTGAGAAGGTAAAAAGCAGAGTACCTGAAGGTCAACCAGTCAATGCAATATATTTGGATTTTGAAAAGGCATTCAAAAAGGTATTGAACATAAGACTACTTAATAAGATGTATTGGTGTAGTATATTACCATGAATAGAGAAATAGGTAACTAACAGAAGACCAAGTGTTTTGGATAAAGGAGGTAAATTCAGGGTGGCAAAGGGTTCAGTTTATAATATACAGTTTATATATACAATTTATATTAATGACTTGGATGATGAAAACGATTGTACTGTCATCAAATTTGCAATGACACAAAAATAGGTGGGAAAGAAAACAGTGAAGATAAAACAAGGAGCCTACAGAGCGACATGGATAGGTTAAGTGAATGGATAGAAAAATTGGCCAGTGGAATATAGCATGGGAAAATGACATGTTTGAACATTGGCAAGAAGAATAGAAAAGCTGAACATTATTTAAAACGGAGAAAGACCACAAAAAAGTTGCAGCAGAGGACTGGTGGGTCCTACAGCATGAATCACATAAAGCTAGCGTCCGTTCCAGTAAGTAATAAGGAAGCCAAATGGACTGATGGCCTTTATTTCAAAGGAAATTGAGTATAAAAATAGAGAAATCTTGCTTAAACTACACAAAGGATTTTTAGATATACATGAACACTGTGAACAATTTTGGCCCCCTTATCTGATGAAAGGTTGTCGGCAGTCTTAAGAAGGTTCATGAATATGAGATCCTGAGTATGGACAGATTTTTCTTATGAGTGGTTAAATACTTTGGGCCTGTACTCACTGGAATTGAAAAGAGTGAGTGGTGATCTTATTGAAAGATATAAGATTCTTCGAGAACTTGACATGGTAGATACCCCATTTCTGACCCGAAACATCAGCTTTCCTGCTGCTCTGATGCTGCCTGGCTTGCTGTGTTCATCCAGCTCCACACCTTGTTATCTTATAATGATAGATACTGACTGGTTAGTTCCCCATGTGGGAAAATCTAGGACCAGAGGAAAGAATCTCAGAATAAGAAGTTACCCATTTAGGGCAAGAAAAAAGGAGGATTTTGTTTTCTCTTAGAGGGCAGTAAATCTGTGGAATTCTTTGCCACAGAGATTTGTTGAACGAGGCTATTGAATATATTCAAAGCTGAAATAGATATTTTTTAATCATTAAGAGAATCAAAGTTGTGGGAATAGTGAATAAAGCAGAGTAGAGAGTAATCAGATCAGCCATGAGCTGACAGAAAGGCAGAACAGATACAATGGCTTACCTTTGCTCCTACAAATTATGGCCTTTGTAAGTACTGAGGCTTGATTCCCAGTGTAGAACCCCAGTGAGTCATGACAATATATATATTTAACATCTTCAATATTAACTCATCCCAAACCAGTAAAATAAAACTAGAAATTGGACAGGGACTCGTGATGCAGTGGTTGTCTCCCTACGTCTAGGCCAGAAGAGTTAGGTTCAAGTCCCAAATTTGAATCAACAAATCTGAACAGGGAAATGTTAAAATAGCTAAAACTGGAAATTAATACCTCTCGTCTGCTTCCTGTTACCCACAAATCCCAAAAATCTCTTTTATGCGCTGTACTTAATTTAGTAATGCCCTTCACTGGTGTAGCTTACTAATAGTTAACATACTGTTAACAACTGCAAACTTCTGTTTCCTCCGATTTTAGGTGTATGATGGAAGAGACAACACATATCGTTCCCTCGGAGTCTTTACTGAATCTGAATTGCTAGGAGTTGTGTTAAATAGCACATCAAACCATATGTGGTTGGAGTTTAACACAAATGGAACAGGGACCAGCCATGGATTTGAGCTAACATACACAAGTAAGTGAATTCACCATGTAAATGCAAGGTTTACATTCTGTTGTCTTGTTCAGCGGTTGGTACTGAATATTTAGTCCTTTACAGATGTGTTGTTGTGTCACATGCAAGACATGGATGTTTTAACCTGTGGGCTAGATGTCACAAAATTGTGAAAGCATTTCTGATCTTTCTACGGCTCATGTAAAGAAACCTTACCTCCAGCAAAACCCCCCATACAATAGTTATTAAATATTAAATAGTATTCTTGCTTTAGCAAGCTATAAATAGATTGACATTCAGGGTTTGTTGTTACTTTTTGTGACAGTATTTTCAAAACGTCATTGTTGTCTTAGAACACAAGCACTTTCATTTCTACAGTAACTTTAAGTATGTTAGGATATCCTAAAGTGTTTCAAAGAAGTTTAAAATGCTGCAGTTTAATATTGTGACCCATACAGTTATTAAGAGTGGAGCCTAAACCAAGAGGTAGGTGCTAAGGAGGACCTTACAGATTGAGAGAGAGAGGGCAGTGCCAAAAGTTGTGGATCAATATTAGTCAGAGATCTGTAACAGGCCAGAATTGGAGAAGTGCAAGTATCTGGAAGGGTTGTGATGCAAGAGGAGATTACAGAGATAGGAAGAGGTATGGCCAAAGATAGATTTATACTGCAGTGTTGGAATTAAAAAATTGAGTCGACGTGGGTTAATGAACATAAGGATATGTGAACAGAACTTGGAGCAAGTTATGATTTGGCAATAGAGGCTTGAATATGTTTGGATTTGAGTAGGAGAGGAGGTGGTTTGGGGTTGGCTACTGTTTGGGGTTCTGTACACTAATCTTAGTGATGTCTTCCTTCACACCACCATTTCTCAAATATCCATCAGGAGAGGAAGGCATGAGGTTTCTGTTTGCATCATCAGTTTGAAAATGAAACGAGTGTGTGGATTAGGAGGAGCTGGGCTTTGAACGAGGAAGATTAGGTGCAAGGAAGATCACCATTTTTAGTTCTTTCAGAGCTGTTCTTCCTCATGGTTGGGACTGCTAGGCATGTGAGTTCCCTTTCCTTTGATTGTGTGCCACCTTGTTCTGCAAAAAAAGTAAGGATGTCTTTCAGCAAGTATTTACAATTTTTTTTTTAGGTGATGAGGGATGGGCAATAAATGCTGCCTGGCCAGTGATGCCCTCATACCAATAATGAATAAAATAAAGATCACAGATACCAGCATGTGCAAGCCATGAGGGGTGTATGACATTCAAGAAAAATAGAAAGTTAGGTAAAAGTGGAGGAGCAGCATTGTTAAATAAGGATGGCATTAGTGCATTGGTTAGAGACTGGGTTTGGTTCAGCAGGTCAGGATGTCGAACCTGTTTGGGTAAACATTGAACAAGGAACGCAAGAAGAAATACTGGGTGTGTTTGTAATAAAAGTATGTCAATATTCTATATATAAACTGGAAAGATTTGCAATGGTAACCTGCGAAAGGAATTCATAAAATGCTTTTTAGAGAGTCTGGGAGCTGCATGTTCTGGAACCAACTGGAGGATAGGTTATTCTAGACTTAATATTCCACATTGTGATCGGACTAATTTCAGACCTCCAAGTAAAGGCTCTCCAAGATAATAGTGACCATAAGAAAAATGAATCTCCCATTCAGTCTGAAAGAAAAGTGCATCTAAATCTTGAGAAGTGGTACTGAACAAACTGATGAAACCATGGGCTGACAAGACCCTAGTTTGTTGTTTTTCACCGGACTCCTGATGAAAATTCCCAACTTCTGCCCTCACCCCTTCACTCCCCTCCAGTCCCACCCACAACACTGCTAGGGTCCCTCTGGACCTCACTTTCAACCCCACCAACCTCCATATGCACAGAATCATGTCACCATTTCTGCCACCTGTTGAAGATGTCACCGGCAGACACATATTCCCCTTCCTTGTTGGCATTCAGCAGGGACCATTCCCTCCAGGACAGCCTGGCTCACTCCACCTCCACATCTCATAGCACCTTTCCATGCAATTGTGGGAGATGCAACCTTTGCCCTTTTACCGCCTCCTCACTATCCAAGGCCCCAGACATACCTTCCAGGTGGAGCAGTGATTTACCTGCAATTCACTCAATCTAGTCTAGATGCAACACATGCAATCTGGTCTACTTTTTCGATTTTCACAATGTGATCTACTCTACACTGGGGAGGCGAAACACAGGTTGGGTGACCAATTTGCCAAACACCTACACTATGTCTGCAAAAGTGACCCAAGTTTCTCGTTGCCTGCTACCTCAACACACCAACGTATTCTCATGCCAACATTTCTGTCTCAGGCCTGCTGCAGTCTTCCAGCAAGGCTCAATTTAAGCTGGAGGAACAACACCTCATCTTCTGCTTTGTTACTTTTATCACCCTCAAGACTCAATATTGAGTTTAACAATTTCAGAATGTGAACACCTTCCCCCATGTCTAATATCCTCCACCCCAACCTAGGTCCTGTTTTGTCTGAATTGCTCCCAGCAATTTTGTAACTATTTATACTTCCCATTAGTATCCTACTCAGCATTTATTTATCTATGTCTCCCTCCTTCTCTCTGTCCTCTCTAGCTTCCTGACTCCATATTCATCCTAGTTTTACTGCAGATTCCACTTAACTGTCGCTAATATCTTTCCTCATTGTTGTATCAATCCCATCTTTAACCAGCTATGCTGCCTAACCTCCTTTTCATTTTTGTCTCCCCTTCCTAAAAAACCAGTTGAATATTCAATCCCCATCCCTAGTCACCCTACAGCTGTGTCTCTATAATCGGTTTGTATCTTTGTCTGACAACTTCATCCACTTTATTGCAAATGCTCCATGCATTAAGACACAGTGCCTTGAGTTTTGACGTCTTAGCACTTTTTTAATTTCTTCGCATTATTTTGTACTTTGGCTTGAATTCTCTGCTGATTCTGTCTTTTGTCTTTTCCCCCTTGATTCCCTCTTCACCTATTCCCCTGTCATTTCAATTTAGCCCTACCAGCCATACTAGCAAATACTCCCCTTAGGACATCAATTCCAGTCCTGCCAAGGTATAACTCATCCAGCTTGTACTGTTCCACCTCCCCTAGAATCAGTCCCAATATCCCAGGAACTTGAAACCGTCCCTTGCACCATCTGCACTATTTGTGAATAGTTAGGAGCCAAACACATCCAGCTCTGAATAACAGTCAGAAAATTGTCAGCTGTAGGCACAAATATACATCAATATTAATACCAGGATGCCTTTTTGTACCACTTGTCAAATTGCAAATCCAGTTTCAGCAAAGCTGCATTGCAATGCTGTGATCAACCAATTAGCTGACATCTAAGAAATTGGCTGTGATGCAATTGCGTTGAAGTGTTTTGGTTAGGATTCGTGATCACAGCCTGTGAATCTTGCGCTCAGCCTCTATAACTTAGCTTGCCTACCCTGTGGCAGAGATTATTTCAACTTTTTTTCTGAAAAGATTGAAACAGAGGTTACTTCCATATTCAGAATTGCAATTATACAGTAGACCCAAAAAGAAATTCTATTGACTTTGAATCTTATGAGATCAGTTATTCAAAACAGTGAAAAAAAACTGTTAATATGATCACCTGATGGTTTGGCATTTAGTAATTTGAAGCAGTTATTCTTTTGGACCTAATAAAAGTAAGGAGGAACTATTTGTGAATTCCCCTGATATCACAGGATACACCAAGGGCACATTTTCAACTTCATTGCCTAGATAATAACTTGTTTAATGACATTTTATGGATAATCTGCCTCATTATAATTCTACTACAAATCAAAGAATGAGAATCAGATTTTTTTTAACCAAAGGCAGATAAACCTTTTAGCCAAATTATTGCTGAGATTGTGAATACAAAGATCTATCCCAATGCGCATGCTGCTCTCGACCCTTGTGTTCTTTGTTTCCTGAATAAAACATGGGTTTTGCTTTTACTACAACAGCATTGCTTTAGTTCGGTAAGAAACCCACCTTTGGTGCTGGTAGCAGTTTCTAATCGGATTAACCTGTTTGTTAAACTACATTCCCTACCCTTTCAAGAGGCTAAATTAATTAGCAAACAGGTCAATCAGCATTAATGAGATTTACACTAAACACACAGCACAAGATGCAGTTATAGGATGAGATATCTCTGATACTCAAGCTGCTTTGAAACCTGTGCTTTTGAGGGGAAAAAAAACAGCATCTGACTTATCAGTGCATTTCCCTGGGACAGATTGAGAGAAAAGAGAAAAGAGAAAATTGTCAATTGCATCACTCCAAATGCTTTAACTGACTGGATTGAGACATCATTTGTATAATTTTTAAGAGTTTGGATTTCAAATTAATGACAGTAGGATGTTGGTTCCTGGGGCTAAACAGTTTTTAAAAAAAAGCACAGTAATATTTGGAAATTAATGTGTTGAATATACTGAAGCTCTATTTTGAAGAAAATAGATAAATTGCACCATTATGTATCATTCACAAGTTTTCTTTCTCTTCCCTGGTTACTTTGGTGATCGATTTTACTTTTTCCAAAAAAAATACAAGGTCAGACAGCCCTTCTGGATTTATGAACTAATCAAGCATTGCTCAGAAAATGAATGGCTGTTGATATATGTGAAGTGTTCATGTAAAAGTGTCATTAGTTTGTTTTGAGTTCAGAATAAGCAAGGATTGTCTTTCTTTTGAAAAGCCAGAGATCAAAAGATTTTTAGGGCAGTTTGGAGTAGACATGACTGGGGTCAGAAGCAAATAAATTTTTCTCCTAGAAAAGAGTTTTTCAGAGCAATTCAGGAAATAAAAACATACAAAATAAGAACAGAAGTAAGAGGTTTGGTCCCTTAAGCTTGTTCTGCCATTCAATAGGATCATCACTGATCCAATGTTCTTCACGTCTATTTTCCTGCCCTATCCTAAAACCCTTGATTCCCTTACTGATCAAGAATCTGGCTATCTCAGCCTTAAATATTCACAATTTCTTTTCTTGCTGTGGAGGCAGAGACTTTGCATAATAAATT